AGGGCCTGCGTCTGGACATTCGGCGTTGCACTGCTCGGCTGCGACTGCACCGCATCCTCGGGAGCAGCCCCCGGGGTTTTGGACTTTGCTCGGTGTCGCTTTGCCGGAGGCGACGGTGCACGAGAGGCTGACTTTGAGCGTGCTCGCTTGGAGGGAGGTGCCGGTCCGCGAGACCTTGACCGCGCGCGCGACGGCTCCGGCTGCTTCGTGATTGTCTCCGGGCCACGGCTTGGGGTACGGCGCGCGCGGCTGCTTTTGCGAGTACCGGATGGGCCCGCAGCTCCGCCCTCGTTGCTTTCGCGATGTTCCACGGGCGGTGACCTACCCCGGCGCCGTCCACGTTGTTCCTCTTCGTCCGCCCCCTCGTCGTCCTCGTCTTCATCGTCCGCTGCGAGAACTGGCGCCCTCGGGTCGATGGGCACGCATTTGCGCTTCTTGAAGAAGCACCAGTCGCAGGCGGACCGCTTGACCTTGCCCCTGTTGAACTTCGACTATTTCAGGTGTTATCACACGGGATAGGACTTATCCTTACCCGTTATGGACTTATGTTCTTCATTGCTACATATTACGTACATTCTTGATGGACTTGATCCAGACCTGTAGCACATGACTTGTTCTAGACCTTTATGGAACATTCCACATGGTTCCATCATATTCCAGATCATTCCTTGATGTTCCATCACATTCCTTGATCACATCACTTCGCATCATTGATCACATCATTGATCTAGGCCTGTCCAGTCCTTTCCAGTGCCCACATATATCAGCGGACTTTCACGTTATTAACGGTACAGCCGAGATGCATTTCCGCCGTCATTAACGGAAACCCGACGTCGGCCGACGGAATGAGTCTGGAGGTTGCAAACCCACCGGCCAGTGCCGGAGGTGCCCTTTTTTAGCGGACCGGCCGGTCTTGTTTTGAACGGATCGGCCGACAATGGGGAGCACCCGGAGGTGTCACTAACAAGGGGCCTGTGTTCACCCATATGCTTATAAACAAACCGGCCGGTGATTGCACATATGGTTGTAAATGGACCAGCCGGAGATTGGCAACCACATTTATAACACTCCAGCCGGATTTCATCCCTGTGTTTGGAAATGGTCCGGCCGGAATGCATCCCTATGGTTTCAAATGGTCCGGCCGGAAGTCATATACCTTTGTTTATGATGTACTGGCCGAAGGTAATATATCTAAATTAATAACACACCGGCCGGAGGTGATATACCTACATTGAGAAAGAACCGGCCGGTCATAATGTACCCACACACAAAACAAACCGGCCGGCCATGACATAGTTTCACTACACATTGACCAGCCAGGCATAGCATGCCTATATTAGAAATGAACCGGCCGGTCATATGGAGCCTGAATATCAATTGCTCCCACCATCCTGGAAAACATATTCATTGATGCACTGAGTTTTCTGGACCATTAATGCACTGGACCCAGGTTTTTTGGGCTTTGAATACATTTTTAGCATCCCCATAGATGCTCCCAATTTTCTAGGCACATGCAAACCATTCCAGAACTTTAGAATCATCAAAATTGAGCTTTCTAGGCTGAAAATAGACCAAAACCAGCCTTTCTGGGCTGGAAATGCATCAGAACACATTTATTGAGCCTCCCAATCCACATTTACAACAGCTCTGAGCCTTATACATCAGGTCCGAGTATTTTACACAATCGCCGAGATTCCACAAAGTCCCGGCGCCGAGGGTGCACCAAGTCTCGGCGCCGCAGGTGCACCAAGCCTCGGCGCCGCACCAAGCCTCGGCGCCGCACCAAGCCTCGGCGCCGCACCAAGCCTCGGCGCCGCACCAAGCCTCGGCGCCGCACCAAGCCTCGGCGCCGCACCAAGCCTCGGCGCCGCACCGTCTCGTTAAGCGCCGAGAAACATCGCTCGGCGCCGAGGGGTGCACTTGCTTCGGCGCCGAGACTTGGTGCACCTGCGGCGCCGAGGCTTGGTGCATCTGCGGCGCTGGGACTTGGTACTACCTCGGCGCCGAGTTGTGCTAAAACTGAGGAATAATGGTGTTTCTAACAATGATCACAAAAAGATTACTGATGTTTGTTACACCAATGACCTTTTGTAGCTCATCTTATAGGGAATGTTAGGTTCATCAGGAAATCTCCTAATGACACTACAAAGGTTTGTATGTGGTTACTTATAAAAAGTGATGTTTGTGTCTCATTGTGTAGGGAATGGTCTGTTGATAAGTAAATCTTCTATTGACACTTCAAGGATTTCCAATGGTCAGGCCGGTACAGCTGCTTTTCTTGTCTGGCTGGTAAGTAAACTTACTGATGACACTACAGTATGTTGTATTCAATTTGTACATTTGTAGCTCATCTTATAGGAAATATTAGGTTCATTAGTAAATCTTCTAATGACATCACAAGGGTTTGTATGTGGTTACTTATAAAAAGTGAGGTTTATATCTCATTGTGTAGGGAATAGTCTATTGATAAGTAAATCTTCTATTGACACTTCAAGGATTTTCAATGCTTAGGCCAGTACAGCAGCTTTTCTTGTTCAGCCAGTAAGTAAGCTTATTGATAGCACTACACATATTTGTATCTCATCTTGTGGGGAACATTAGGTTGATAAGCAACTATTATGATGAGACTACAAGGATGTGTACATCTCATGTTGTTGTTATTGTACAGTAGACAGAACACTACATTACAAATGTGTAGTACTATGACAACTTCTGGCTGATCTAGCGCCCACACTAAAGTTGGTAGCACTTACAGCTTGGAAGATTAAGCTATGAGATTTGGCATATGTGCTGCTGGCTGTATGAACATACATTATAGCCACTAACCTAATGTGGGCAAAGAAAGTATACTGCCATGGTGAGGAGAGTAAGAAGGGAGCAGGGACATGCACAATTAGTGATATGTCTCTGAAGTGATAAGTTGTTGCCTTTATGTACAACTTTTGTGCCAACATGTGTCCAGATGAACAAGTACATTCATCAAGTCATGTATGGATGGGTTGCTGATACATGTTTCATTTATCCTCATACATTCTGCTATGATCATGATGGCCACACCCTACATATATATCTGTATGTAGAAACCAATCCCAGATGAATATGAGACATTCTATAGAATTAACACATGTGGTCCTAGGTACATTGCTCTGCTACAGCCTACATTTGGAACTCACTGACTTTTCTGTAAATGCTAGACAGTTCAACCTTGATGCAGGGTTGTAACTATGATGTATTCTTTTGTGATAATCAACCTCTTGTTCCTACAGTGTTCCTTTGTCTTAATTTCATTATGTACTAATTAAATACAACACACTGTAGTGTCATTAGTGAGTTTACTTACCAGCCGGAACAGGAAAAGCAGCTGTACCGGCCTAACCGTTGAGAATCCTTGAAGTGTCAATAGAAGATTTACTTATCAACAGACCATTCCCTACACAATGAGACACAAACATCACTTTTTATAAGTAACCACATACAAACCTTTGTAGTGTCATTAGGAGATTTCCTAATGAACCTAACATTCCCTATAAGATGAGCTACAAGAGGTCATTGGTGTAACAAACATCAGTAATCTTTTTGTGATCATTGTTAGAAACACCATTATTCCTCAGGTTTAGCACAACTCGGCGCCGAGGTAGTACCAAGTCCCGGCGCCGCAGGTGCACCAAGTCTCGGCGCCGAAGCAAGTGCACCCCTCGGCGCCGAGCGATGTTTCTCGGCGCTTAACGAGACGGTGCGGCGCCGAGGCTTGGTGCGGCGCCGAGGCTTGGTGCACCTGCGGCGCCGAGACTTGGTGCACCCTCGGCGCCGGGACTTTGTGGAATCTCGGCGATTGTGTAAAATACTCGGACCTGATGTATAAGGCTCAGAGCTGTTGTAAATGTGGATTGGGAGGCTCAATAAATGTGTTCTGATGCATTTCCAGCCCAGAAAGGCTGGTTTTGGTCTATTTTCAGCCTAGAAAGCTCAATTTTGATGATTCTAAAGTTCTGGAATGGTTTGCATGTGCCTAGAAAATTGGGAGCATCTATGGGGATGCTAAAAATGTATTCAAAGCCCAAAAAACCTGGGTCCAGTGCATTAATGGTCCAGAAAACTCAGTGCATCAATGAATATGTTTTCCAGGATGGTGGGAGCAATTGATATTCAGGCTCCATATGACCGGCCGGTTCATTTCTAATATAGGCATGCTATGCCTGGCTGGTCAATGTGTAGTGAAACTATGTCATGGCCGGCCGGTTTGTTTTGTGTGTGGGTACATTATGACCGGCCGGTTCTTTCTCAATGTAGGTATATCACCTCCGGCCGGTGTGTTATTAATTTAGATATATTACCTTCGGCCAGTACATCATAAACAAAGGTATATGACTTCCGGCCGGACCATTTGAAACCATAGGGATGCATTCCGGCCGGACCATTTCCAAACACAGGGATGAAATCCGGCTGGAGTGTTATAAATGTGGTTGCCAATCTCCGGCCGGTCCATTTACAACCATATGTGCAATCACCGGCCGGTTTGTTTATAAGCATATGGGTGAACACAGGCCCCTTGTTAGTGACACCTCCGGGTGCTCCCCATTGTCGGCCGATCCGTTCAAAACAAGACCGGCCGGTCCGCTAAAAAAGGGCACCTCCGGCACTGGCCGGTGGGTTTGCAACCTCCAGACTCATTCCGTCGGCCGACGTCGGGTTTCCGTTAATGACGGCGGAAATGCATCTCGGCTGTACCGTTAATAACGTGAAAGTCCGCTGAATAGGCTCCAGTGCCTTCCAGCATGTTCTATCTATAGTGCCATATCGCATCATCCTGATGTATTCGCTCATTGCACTATATTGCATCATCATGACACAACGTGTGTACACCTTACTCATCCTGCTACAGGCTTACACATAACGCTTACTTACGCTTACTGTACGATCATGTGATGACTCTCTCATGTGTATATATACTGGGCTGGATGCCCCTGTAATGCATCGGTCTCTCCTCTTGTCTTACGCCTGCTGAGTCTTCCCTCTCAGTCTCTTGAGACCTTGCAAGCCCTCCATTGACTGCTGTCCTTAACTGGTCTTGTAGTCTGTTAAGTGTTGCCTTCACACTTGCCACTCCCTTTTCACTCCTTGTTCAACAGCCCCTTCCCTTGCCCTTGGCTGGCTTCTTCGTGACTTTGGAAATGGTGCAGCGAATGTTGCCCTTGCACGCTGTGCACGGCCACTCCTGCAAGCAAAATCAGGTGAGCTGCCTACTGTGTGTATTGAGGACTTACGCTCGGTCTCGTGAGATCCGGTCTGCGGGATGCGCGGTTTGTTGGCATCACCCAGCCCTCCCGTGCAGGCTTCGCCTTCGTCTTCTTCGGCATGGGCTTCTGCTTGTTCTTCAGAACGCCCTTCGATTTTCCTAAGCAAGCATTGTCAGACGCTCCATACGTGCTAAATGATCAAAGTTTCTTACCTTCCTCCTGCTCCTCCTCCTCCTGCTCCTCCTCCTCCTCCTCGTTGTCCACATCCTGGCCACCTTCCTGAATCGCCGCAGGGTTCCCTCCACTCGGACCTTCATCTTCGTTGGCTGGTGGTGTTGGTGGGACCTCGCGCGCCTTACCCTTCCCCTTCTTCAGCTGCAGCGTCTTTCTCACCATCTCCTCGTCGTGGTCGTCATCCAGCTGATCCACCTCACCGCCATCCTCCTCGTTGGAGTCACCGTCGAGCTCCCTGAACCGCTTTCCAGGCGGCGCACCTTTTGGACCCTTGAGGCCAGTCTTCTTTTCCTGGGCAGCCCGGGTAGCCTCCTTCCGCGCTTCGCTCTCCTCGAGGATCTTCGCACCGCGCTCGGCTGTTGCTCTCTTCTCCGCTGCTTCCTGGTGCTCGCGCATCTGGAGGTGGAAGTGGTGCCGCGGGTGATTAGGGGGGAAAAGAAGCCAGTGGTGCGCAATGCGCTCGTCAATTTCAGAAACCCGGGAGAATTGGATCGGAATGCCGTGCATCAGGAAAAACACTTCTAACTTCAGCAGTCTTGAATGAAGAACACCTGATCTTATTCAATCTTTCACAACTTGTGTTCCTCAATTAAGTGCACCATGTGCATGAAGACTGCTGAAGTTAATTATAGTACCTTTGAGAAATTTGTCTTGTGCCCAAGTTGGAAGATATGCAACTTTAGTTCTGCAGATTAAGACACATAAGTACACATTAGTTGGAAAATGACCTCCTAACTAGAAAATATGCATGATGAGATGTCAGATTGCTCAATATGAAGACTTCACCAAGATTTCACCTGACAAGTTAACACATACTATATCTGGCAACAGTAATGGGGTACAAATAAAGATTATTTGTTTTTCCCTGTGATTATGAGTATATTACCCTACTTACAACAGATGCTGTGGTCAAAGTCATATTGTCAGGGATTTGGACATATTTGACCTGTTAAGGTTGAGAGACAGCAAAAGAACACTTAAGCATGCAAAGTGAGACAAGAAGCCTGCCCTTGAGCAAATCATGAGTCTACACAAGGTCTGCAAGGCAACAGATAGTGCCAAGAAGAAATGAGGCCAGTCTGAGAGCCCAGGGATGCACAGGGGCTGGGCTAACAGGGGGCAGCAATTGCAGATTTCTCTAAGTCCAGAAAGATAGTCAATATAGGTTATTGTAGAAGGGAACAAGCACAGGGACCTATGGTGTAGTGGTCACAAGTTTGTGCTGAGAGTGTGGGAACTTAGTTTAGCAGGTCAGGGGTTCAATTCTGGGAAATGGCAGATTATTTTGGGCGACATTTTTGCATCTGGGATGCCTGTTATGACAGCATATGCACAAACACAGCAGAATCATGACAGAAGTCACCCCAGTAATGATGAAAAAACATCATTCTTGCTTGGAATGAGTGTTTACTTTGGTTACTTAATGGAACTTAAGTAAGACAATTTAAGAAATCGACTTACCTTAAGGCTCTTGTGGCACATAGTGACACATAATGTCACTTTTGGCTCTCCACAAGACCACTTAAGACACGAACGTTTTTCCTGATGTGTTGGTTGGCGTGGGCTAGCTCAGTCAAGGCTGATGCAAGGAACCGGGACACCGCAAAGTACCGGCCCTCCGTGAAGTGGTGGACGATGTTATGCCCAAACAAACCCTGTACAATATGAAGTAAAGATACCATGTTAAAAGCGGATCACTCACCACTTTGACTCTGAATTGGTCCTGGATACCATGGGTGTTAGCGGCGGACGCAATTGTACACTGAGTCACTCACCCGCGTTTTGTCGTCGATTTTTTTATCCTGCTCCTCTGTCACAGAAGGCCCTCCCATTAAGCCAACTATCTCCTGCTCGACTGTTGTGATGTACTCCGGCATATCCGTCCGCTTGACCGGAACGAACTCATGCGCGTCTTCATCGTCTGAGCCGGTGTCTCCTCCTTGGCGGGTCGGCGAGCGTGACGCGGCAGCGGCGGAAGACATTTGAAGCAGGCCTGAGGTGAGGTGAGCTGGGCAGCAGAAGTTTGCGAGGAGACTTGTGGTGTTGGGGACCGAAGACGTTGATGTTGTGCGCGCCGCCCGTTACGCGACGCGACAGAGCATGTGACCCAACGGAGCGTGCGCGGGAGCCGAACCCCCGGCGATCATTGCTGGCGCTTGCAACGTCGCTATTGCCGCGGTTCTTCCTCGAACCTTAATCTCTAAAGTCTAACGTCATGACGTGTCAACGTAAGTGCAGTGTTCTACTACAGCTACCCGTCTGTGGATCTCACATGTTGCCATCCCCGTAGCTGACAATGTCGGGAGTTCGATTCCCGGCGGCGAACGTCCCTGTACAAGGGGTCACAAGTTCCGCCTACCCTCGGTTGCGCCGGGAACAGAAGCGCCGGCGAAGGTACCATTACACTTCTCTTACCATCTATAGACACTGACCGTTGTCGTGCAGTCATTGGCGCATCCAGACTCCGAGCAAGGCGTGGATGTAGCATCCCATTTAGATTTAATGGTGTGCATGTCCTCCGGTAACTTGCGACCAACCTGTTGACCTGTCCATTTGTCGGTGCGGTACATTTGAAGGCCCGGGAAGTGGTCAAGCCAAGGGGCCGCCCATCCGGTCATGTCCATTTCAGTCCGGACGCGGACACAGCTGGACGTAAAAATCCGGAGGATAGGGAAGGTAAACAGGCTGAGCTATTGTCTAGTCAGGTATGTGACATGCATCGTGGAAACATGACTTACATATTAAATGCGGACCGATTGTTCAAGCATGACCTGGCCTTGGCTGCTCTGACTGAGCACAAAGTGACCAGTCGGAAATGGAACCCCCGTGAATTCACGATGCCATTGGTACATGCACCCGGGCAGCGACAGGTAAGCAGTTTGCCGCCTGCCGAGGTATGCATTTCTTTTTAACATGGCCATAGACACAATGCATTACGAGGGATGGAACTGGACATGATCCGCCCCAGATTCCGGCCAAAGCCGAGCATCCTACCCCCCCTTCTTCGGCCTCACCCATTATTCCCGCGATATCCCAGCTTGTCAAGGTCCCGGCGGATCGGATCATATCTGCCGAAACCAGCACACCAGCTCCCAGTCCACCAAAAGCTAAGGCAATCGAAGAGGATGTCACCATGGGTTCCCCGAGCACAGGACCGGCCGACAACAACAGTTTCTCCTTGTCGGAAACACTCTGCACCGAAGCGGATCCATCCGGTGATTCTGACATTGAGGTCATCGAGTCCCCAATGAACAAGCTCGTTTATCGGAAGCCACGGCATGGGTCCCGGGCCCCCTCTCCGATCATTATATCAGACTCAGAGCCTGACAGGACAGCTTTCGGCGAGACTGGATTGCTGTTCGAACCATCCCCTGAAATGATATCCTGCAGTAGCACTTCTGACGAAAGCACCGATCGCATTCCTCACTTCCCGGACAGTGTGCAACCTCCCCTTCAGCAGGTTATAGTCTCCGAGGGCCAGCAGAACTGGACCAGGTTGCCTTACCTGTTTCAGGAAGGCGAGCTGCCCGAGGACCTCATACCTGCGGGGGCCCCGCTGGCACTGGCGCCAGATGACTGGGAGCCATTGGTGGGGGGCGGTGGACTGGTCGCAAAAGTGAGTGACATGTGCTTTGATTCGGTGTCCTGAGCTCATATGTTCCAGCCTGAAGACATCACATTGTCACCGAATCACTCAAGCGCCATTCCTGAAGATGGGATCGCAGCAAATCACTTTCATATCTTACAGCACGGTAAGTTTGTGAAGCTATGTTACCGTCTCCACCCATGACCCAGGTCCTTGGTTCGCCGCCGAACACTCGCCAGCCCTCGGCGCCGCGCGTTGGTCAGTATGCGGCGCCGAGGGTTGGCCACTTTGCGGCGCCGCGCGTTGGTCAGTGTGCGGCGCCGACAGTTGGTCAGTGCGCGGCGCCGAGGGTTGGCCACTCTGCGGCGCCGAGGGTTGGCCAGTGCTTGGAGTCCAAACCTGAGTTCTGTGCAATGCTGTCGCGTGTAGCCTAGATCGTGTTACAGTGGGCGCACCATGTTCATTTACATTTGGTCATCTCTGCAGATTTAGCAGACCGTGTTGTCTCGAGCATGGAGTCTGCACCGATGGGCAGGATGTACACATCTCCAGCTGAGGCCACCGCTCCCCTGGATCCCTTTCACAATCTCTGGACCAGGGACAGTGGGACGCCTCTCCAATGGCCTCGCACCGGTATGCCATTTTTCTTTCTCTTGTGCTTGCGCCGACTCATGGCATTTCATTGTTATTACAGTAATCGGACCGTCTTACAGTGGCCAAGCTCCTACGGCTTTTTCGGATCTTCTTCATCAGCGGACGATACTGGAATCCCGGATTGAATCCTTGGAGCAGCTGCGACGTTCCAATGCCCTCAATGCAAGAACAGTAGGCTGGGTTCTGGCATATTACAATTGCGCTGAGTGGCCTCAGGCACCTCAGCAGTGATCAAAACTCCAGCATTTGATACATGTGATGCACATATATTACACTTGACTCTATATCTGTCCATGTAGCCTGTATTTAGATGTATTACATCCAGGCTATGTAGGGTCTAGGTGCTCTATTGGCAAAGTTGTGAGAACAGGATAAGTGAGACTGCTATAGAATAATGATCTCTTAAGGGAAATATCTGCTGAAAATGAGGAGACCATGGAATGATATGGTACTCACAACTTATCTTCAATATCAGCCTGTGTTCATAGAATATGTGTGTCTATGCCAGCAACTAGGGAGTGGAATTACATTGTTTGAACTGGTTAATGCCTTCAGATTGAAAGAACTATCATATGTATACATACATCATACAGTATACTGTATACCATATAGGTGGTATATTTATATTCTTAAATAGAATATTCTTAAATAGTTGCAGCCATAGTAGTGATGGATATGATTGTGGTCATTTCAATTGGGTCCAAGTTTTCTGATGATGTTCATTGTGTATATTGTTGCACTCACGTTTGCCAATAATCCTTCACAATGTTTTGTGAAACGTGACTGAGCTTACCGTGTGCTGATCCATATGTATTCAATGCTCATATCTTCATTGCCTGAGTATTGTTCCATCTGTGAATTTCCATGTTGATACTGGAGGTTTGGCTATGATAGCTTCTGAGCCTAGTCCTTGATATTGTCCCAAATACAGGATGATAACAGGTCTATCATGGTGCTGTCACACTAGTCGGCCGGTCTGTTGTTTGCGAGAACGGGCGGCCGCCCCGTTACATGCATGGCCGGCCGGCTGCTTGGCATTCAGCGCCATAACAAACCACTTGGTAAAGCCCGGCCGAGCGGTTCTCATTGGGTTCACTCACGTTTGGTCAGTCGGTAACTTATGGGAGGGTAACATGCCCGGCCGGTTGGTTACACATGGGGTGGCCACTTCGGTGATTACGTGCCGGACTCACTTGCTCAACGGCACTTGGCACCATCAGCCGATGATAATTCGATGGTCATTTCAATGATCGGCCCTTGCTTGAATGACACATGGGTCTTCCGAGCGGCCGATGGTTATGCAACTATATATGGTGGTCAGTGGTCAAAGTGCTCTACATGTACAAGGCTTCCGCCCACCGGATGATTTAGGACCTTGATGTGTCTCGCCGGCCGACATGTTGTGTTAGTCAGGTTGCCATCACCGGCCGGAACGTGGTAAAAGTCGCAATCATTTATAGGGAAATGATAGTATGACATGCATGTTCCGAGGGCCCGGTGTGATTTGTATACACATGTGTCAGGACCGGCCGGTGCATTAGCAACGTTGGGACACTTCACCGGCCAGTGCATTGACAATATTGGGCCACATCACCGGCCCGTTGACGAACAAATATGGGGCGACACTGGCTGTGGTTATGTGTGGGTCTGCGACATTGTCGTCTCCGTCGGCCAGTGCATTTCCAATGAATCCGGCTAGACGTCGGCCGACAGGCTGATGTTGTCAAAACCCGTTACGCCGGCCGCCGTCGGGTTTCCGTTGACGACGGGCAATATGCAGCCCGGGTGTACCGTTAGGAACGGGTATGGTCCGCTCATGAATGTGTCTCGGCATGCACAGACTCTGACTGGGCCAATGACCCAGAGATGAGACGGTCTCAGAGTGGCTACTTTATGAAGTTGGCGAACGGAGTGTTCAGTTGGCTGTCTCGACGGCAAAAGACGGTTGCACTGTCTTCAACTGAGGCTGAATACATGTCGCTCAGCGACTGTAGCCGCCAAGTCATCTGGGTTAAGATGCTCCTCAAGGAGATCAGTTACCTACTTGGCGCACTCCCTATCTGCTTGGATAACCAAGGAGCGATATTCATCGGCTCCAACCCTGTAACTGAGAGGCGGTCGAAGCACATTGACATACGCTACCATTACATCAGGGAACTGATTGAGGAGAAGCAAGTCGAGCTCTTCTACATCAGTACGGATGAAAATCCAGCAGACCTGTTCACCAAGAACTTAGGCCGTGTCAAATTCCTTAAGTTTAGAGGAATGCTCGGACTTAGATTCTATGAATCGTCCTAGAGCACCATTGGCAGCGTTATGCGCCTAGTACGCTTATGTGAGTCTACGACGCACTAAGCAAGGGGGAGTGTTGAACTAGGAAGGCGCCTACCGGGCTGCCGGGTTCAATCACAGGCCGGACCGGTTCTATGGGAAGCTCCGGGTCCGTGATGTCATCTATGATGTCATCTGTGTGTTATCACATGGCTACGCCACTTACCTTGTATGTCATGGGAACATACTATACAGTAGCTTAGATAAGCGGTCTCCTCATGTATATAAGGACCCCAGTAGCGTAGCTCAATCCCTAGTACCTTCAGTTGAAGTACTTGCGTGTGCATCAAGCATCAGCAACCTTGCAGGTAAGTTGTGAGGGCGCACCACTGCGTGGAGCTGCCTGCTCAACACAATGCGACGCCTCAACTGGCAATGCCCCATTACCCTCTGGGATAGCACAGTCCCAGACATTTCGTATTTTAGGGTATTTGGGTGCAAGGCATATGTGCATGTGCAGAAGGAACAAAGAGCTGGGAAGCTCGACAAGAAGGCTGTCGAGATGATCTTTGTTGGCTATGAGTTAGGTTCCAAAGGGTATTGTTTCTGGAACCCGGCCACTCGAAGTATCGTTGTGTCTCGTGATGTGACCTTCGATGAAGAGACATTTCCTGCACGTAAAGATTTACGCAATAATCCGAAATCCCTGGATAAGCCGTTTGATGAACCTCCTGAGGATGCGAACTCGGAGGATTCTGATTCTGAGGATTTACCTATTCCCGTTCCTATCCCGGAACATGAACCTGAACCTGAAGACCATCCAGAGCCAGTGGGAGACATTCCACAACCGCAACCTGATCCTGTACCTCCTCCGCAACCTCAGTACGAACGTCCACGTTGTCAAGGTGCTGGACAAAATCCTAAGAGGAACAAGGACAATGCCTATGGTGACGAGCCACCTGCAAATATTGATCGTCGTACCGATGCTCAAGGCCGTCAACAATCTGAGGCTGAAACTCTCATGTTTGTGCGGATGCTAGCAGAAGCAAACCATGGCATTCCCCAGAGTCACAGGGAAGCTATGGAGTCTCAAGACAAGGCTAAATGGCACGCATCTGAAGGTTCTGAATACAAGTTGCTTATGGACAACAAGACTTGGGTTCTAGTTCCACGGCCTAAAAACCGAAAGGTTATCAAGTGCCGGTGGGTTTATGCAATTAAACACGATGGTCGCTACAAAGCACGTGTTGTTGCAAAGGGATTTACCCAAGTATGGGGTCAAGACTATACCGAGACTTTTTCTCCTGTTGCACGGTTTGAATCCGTACGCTATCTATTGGCGCATGCAGCACTTGAAGATTGGGAGATTGAGTCTATGGATGTCAAGACGGCATTCCTTAACGGTGACCTTGACGAGGAAATCTACATGGAACAGCCCGAAGGATGGGCTGTACCTGGGAAGGAGAACTGGGTCTGTCTGCTCAAGAAGGCCATTTATGGCTTGAAGCAAGCATCTCGTCAATGGAACGCTAAGATCCACAAGTCTCTCCTCGACTTAGGGTTTAAACGGACGTATTTGGATGCCGGAATTTATGTTTTCTCTCGTGAATCTGAAGGACACACCTGCTTAATCATTTTGTATGTCGACAACTTGCTCCTCATGGGCGACTCGAAATTGTTCATCGACAACATCAAGCAGAGACTGTCTTTGGAATACCAGATGACTGATCTGGGAGCTGTCCAGTGTTTCCTTGGTCTACACATTCGTCGAGAACGTCTTGCACGTTGTATCTTTGTTGACCAGGAAGACTATATTCAGTCTGTTTTGGAAAGGTTCCAAATGTCCAACTGCAAGTCTGCAAGGACACCTCTTCCCGCTGGAGCAGTATTAGAGAAGAACACCGACACTGCATCTGAAATTTTCCGAACCCATTACCAGAGCATCATTGGCAGCATCATGTATGCTATGCTTGGTACTCGCCCAGACATCTTGTTCGCGGTGTGGGCATGGCCCACGGTCTACGCACGGAATCGACAACATACGAACGCGTCAGGGCAAGAAATGGGACGGCAATATGGTGCAAGGCATCTCCGAGAAGTACGGACTTGGGGAACACAACACGAACAGGCCAAATACATTCCAACTAAGCCAAGCACACGGTTACAGAAGGTGCTACGGACGACTACATGGGGTCAGTTGAGCGAAGGGCTTGCGTTACGAACGTTCCCTCCGTCCCTGTTCCTTCCAGACCCTCCAGCCTCTCGGTCAGCAGCAGCATCAGCAACGCTACGCGTGAAGCCCATGGGGCGTGGATTAAGAGCCATCGAACCCCTAGACGTGGCGAAGACTAAACGACGAGGAATTCCGGAATAATCATCCGGAAGGTACAGCCCGTGTGACAGCTGGTCTTGAATACCTTGGACCGCGGCGGAGAGTGTGGCTAGCCCACCATCGAGCTGGTCAAGGGCGTCGGTGGTCGAACACTGAGCATCACTAAGAGCTTCCAGCTGGTCGGTGACAACGTCCCATCCGACGGAAGAAGCGCGCTGGTTCGATAAAGCGAGCGGACTGTTGCGATAGGAAATGGCCGGGAGTGGAGCACCTTCCTCAGCAATGCTCTGCTCGGCGAGGACGCGGTTAGGCGACCAGGCAATGACGGGGTATGGCTCGGGAAGAGACGACGCGTGCTCGGAAGGAAGGGTTACGAAGATGGTGTCGAGGTACACTATCAGGGCGTGCACGGATGGTGTCTGGCGGACGGAAGGGAGAGAGATATCCCCGGAGGCTACGGCGATGCTACGAGACTCGAACAGCATGCGCTGGAGTACAGTCAGCGTGGGAGACGACGAGCCCTAGGAAAAGGGCACACCAATAGCCAACGGCTTCCATGGGCCCAGGCCAGCCAGGCAGTCGGATCGTGGGGGAGGAGACGGGGTTCCAGGTCGCGTTTGTGTCGAAG